TGGGATTTGTGTTTAATGTTTCCACCGTGCGGCACGTACAGCCGCGCCCGGCATAGACACGATGGACAAACCGGAGGACCCAAGCCGCTCAGGGCTCGGGGTTTTCTTCATGGCTTCCCTTGGCTTGCTAAGCAACATCGGGCAGCTGTTGACCAGGAGGACTTCGTTATTGCAAAGTGTTTTAATTTGATCCCGATCCTCTCCGAGCTCAAGGTTGGGTGGATCTTGGTGCATCCTGAGGACTTGGGGAAAATGCGTGGGGGTGAGATTCCTGCTAGCATTTGGCAGTGGGATGAAGTGCAGTCCATTTTGGACAACGAGGATGTCAAGAGTTGGGTTGAACACATGTGCGCCTACGGGGCTGCCTCTGCTCATCCGACCAGAATGCTTTCAAACTTGAACAGCGGCCCTGATCACATGGGTCTCCCTAGTTTCGATGGTGAAGGCTGGTACCTTGGGCCTTTGGGAAAGTGTGGGCATGTGCATGTTTCAGGCGTGGGGAGGGGAGAACAAGAGTGGACAACCAAGTCATCGCTCCCTCCACGGTTCTTTGATGCACTTGCCATGCTAGCATTTGAACGAGTGCAGGATGATCGGGCCACCGATCATTCTTTCCAAGGTGCCGAGGACTTTGCAAACTGGCTGCTTGATCAAAACCGACAGCTGGTACCGCATGAGGGCGAGGCATTGTGTAGACTACTACCTTTTGAACAACCGCATGTTGCTGCTGCGGGGACCGAGTCCGGCCAAGGCCGAGCCTTCTTCGCAGGTGCATTTTGCAAGGGCCCTTTCTACGGTCTTCGCCAGAGCTGTCATCAGTTTCCGCAGTCAATCAGGTGCTTCACTGCATTGCTTCGCGATGCGTTCCCAGGAATGGTCTTTAGCTCATTGGCCATCTTCGATAACGTAGCTGCACGTATGCATAAGGACAGCCGCAATGCACCGTTTCCCAACTTGTTGCTTGCTCTCACGTGCTTTCAGCATGGTGAAGTTTGGTGTGAAGCTTCCACTGGCACTGAGGTGCGACAGGTGCAAGGTGTGCCGCGACATGGCAGTCTGTTGCCCGTTGCTGATTCACCGCAAACTTTGCAGGCGCACCAAGTTTTTCATCAGACCGAGCCTTGGACCGGAGATCGTGTCTTGTTGGTCGGCTACACGACCCTGCATACATCAGACTTGTATTCAGATCAGAAACAGCTGTTGCACACCCTTGGCTTTGTCTTGCCTTCCAGGCACTAAAGGAGGGGGGCGAGGAAGGCCGCGACAACTTGACCGACACTACCCTAGACAAACCTGGCTTTAACACCCCCTGGCCTGCTGCCACCTCCGGGGCCCCGAGGGTTCTTAGCACCCCTTCTGGAGGGCCCATCCAGGAGGCTCCTGTTAGCACCCCTGAGGAAGGGACCATTCCTCAGGCACCTCATCCCACACAAGCGACAACCGCTGAGGAGAGCACTGCACAGGCATGTGAACCTGCACAGGTGATCGAGGTGCCGAGCTCAGAGGATCAAGAAGAGGAGGCGGAAGGTTTCGATGCCGCGACTAGCCGGTGCCGCGGCCCTGCCATCCGCTGCAGACACACTAGAGAGTGGAGGGAGCTGATCGATGGATTCGGCTTGTGCTCTCCTGGGAGGTGGCGACCGCTGGCTCGTGATGCCACGGCGACTTCGCGCGAGTGGGGGCATGCCGATGCGATCCGAGAGCTTCTCTACAAGACAGCGCGCAAAGCCATCAAGGACCCCAGAGCTGCCGCCTTCGAGCTTGCCACCGGCCGTCTAAAAGTGTCCCCGTTTGATGAATCAACTATCCAAGAGGTGCGCGCGCAGATTGCTGCGATGCTTCCTGACCCCACGGCTGCTATGGAGGTTCCTACAGGGCAGCCCTTCATGTTGCACTTGCTATCGCAATCACTTGAGGTGTTGGGGGATCCTGACTTCGAGATCTTGGACCATGGGTCGGAATCATTCGCAGAGGGCGTACCGCTTGGTTGGGATAAGCCGATTGCGAGGACGCCTCAAGTGTTCCCAAAGCGTACCACGTTTCGAAAGTTGGACCAATCAGACTTCGACCCTTCGATGCTTAACTATCGCTCAGCTGAGTTGAATGCCGAACAGCTTGAAGCGAAGTTTCGTGAGGATGAGCGGGCCGGGCTCATGGTTTGCACGACCGAAGCAGAGGCAAGGCGAATCTACGGTGCTACTTCTGTGCTCATCGCAGCAATGGGCGCGGTGACTAAAGCCAGCGGTGATGTCAGGCCGTTGCATGACGGCACACACGGCATAAACCTCAACAACAAGATCAAGATACTGGATAAGCTGCAAGTCCCCGGACCTGAGGATCTTCAAGAAGTTGCATCACGAGTGAAAGAAAGCAAGGAGGCTCCTTTTGCCTTGTGTGCAGACATAAAGCAAGCGCATCGGAATGTCAAGGTGCGGGAATCCGACTGGCCGCGTTTAGCTTG